ACTGAAAACGTTAGGCAGTTCCCGTCTACACCCGGCCTTGTGGCTGTTCCTTCACTCTCTGTCATTTTCCTCCCTATCGTGGCGTCGGACCCTGAACCCCCCCGCCCCCCACACAGGGCTTCAGGTCGCCGAGACAGAAATGCCCATTTATTTCACCTGGCGTTGGGGCTTGCGTGCTAATTGCGTCGCCCTCTGATCCCAAAATGTGCAACTTCAGTGCAGCTTGACCCTGAGGACAAGGCACGGCTTCCTAACGCCCCTCGTCCTCTCCCCACCGAGGCACGCACACGCACACGCACAGCCCCACACGCTCACACACGCCACGCACCACACGCACACCTTGGGCTTTCGTTCAGCTGCTGAGTCAGACTCTAGTCCTGGGGAACAAGATTGAGAGGAGATGTGACCCAGCCCAGGCACCGTGGTCCCCGTGTCAGGCTCGCTGTTTCTGCACTCACATGGGTAGGCATCCACGCCCTCCCCTGTTCAGGAAGGAGCGAGACGTGAGCAGCGTCCACGCCAGCACCGCCCTTTCCGGGGGCAGCAGGTGGAGGATGGCGCAGGGGTGGGCTCTCCAGCCTCTGATGACCTCCCAGCTGCACTTGCAGTTTGAGGACAGCCAGCTCTTAGTAGCTGTGGTGGACGAAAGCAAAATAGACATGCATTAACAGTAACTTTATCCCCGGATCGTTTAGGATCAATATGTTTATAATTCATCCAACGGCGATAGTAACAAGATGTGGACAAAGCAAGAAACACACGCAGATGTATGATAAAATGTGACAGGCCCGCGCCTCGGTTCCCACCTCCTCCCCCAACCCCAGCCCTTGACGCCCCCCATGTAATGAGAGTATTTTGTTCTAAACCACATAGGATGCCGCTGCTCTCCCACCAACCTCCAACCACTTCAGCGTCCGCCCTTGCCCGGCGGCCCACTAGCCAGCGGGGTGAAAGGTCACAGACCACCTGTGTCCGGCCAGGCCGGCCACAACCGTCTCCTCCCACCGGGGCTTTCCTTGCCCCCATTGGGAGGGGTTTTCCTGGTGATGGCCTTAATCTTCCCTTCCCTACACAAACTCTCTCACCATAATCACAGCATATGAATAAAAGAATAATAAATAAATAAATACAAATAAAACTTAAGCTATTCTTTTGGTCAGCCTTCATAATAAAAGAATATGACTGAGAACTTCAAAAGCATTTTTCATAATCCCAATTTTTTGTGGATCTTTTTCTGACTTTCATTATTTTGGCATCTTGCACGTATAACAAAAAGTTCTCAAAAATGTTTTCTGACAATGGCAATGTCAGTGTCTTCACCATGATCTCTCATTGTCTTTTACCCTGTGTGCAGATACTATTACGATGCCTGTTTAAGGGCACGTTCGTAAATCCCGTGTTAATTCAGAAAAACGAAGACACCTGGTCTTCTTCACAAGGCCTCAAACTTGATCCACCTGCTGCTCAGGCCCACATCTGAGATGCCAACGTGCAAAACTCTACTTAAACCCAGCACCAACCCACGTCCAGATGGGCCACTTCCCCCAGTGTGGCCGCAGAACAGTGGCCCGCAGGGTGTCCTCAAAGAAAGAGGTCCATGGCCACCCAGCAGGAGGCTGTCAGACCGTTTCTTCATCTGCTGTGTTCACAGTGGACGTGGGCCCGTGGCAGGCGTGGGGAGAGCCGGGGGCCTGGGGAACTCAGCGTGACTCTCTCCCCAACGTGCTGACGAAGCTCACGCCATGGGCTCACGCACATCTGGGGAATAGACTTTACGTTCAGTATTTCAGTTTAATGACATTTTCTCCATTTCAAATGAAAACGTTAAAGTCTTTTTTTTCCTGATCAAAATGAGATGACTTTGCTTTAGGTCTTCTTATAGTCAAGACATAAAATGCTCAGGAATGTTCCAGAAGATGGTTCCCTTCCACCTTTCACCTCTTGCCCAGTCTGACGTATGTCTTCCCCGGGAACGTGCTTCCCAAGGCTGACGTGCTCTGTCATTGGCACGTGCTTGCGGGCGGGCTCTCCGCCTTGGCCAGCTCTGTGCTGTGGGTTGGTTTAGCTGCCTTGGCAGGGCCTGCCGCTGGACCCTCACCAGCTCCCGGACACTGTCCCCCCCTGGAAGACATAGGCTCATCATTGCTCTGACACCTTCCAACTGCCTGGCAGGTTTAGTCTCAGAAATAGCACGGCTGTGCTTAATCACAGAACAATATTGCCAAGAAAAAAGAAATAACAGAGTTTGAAAGGCTCTGTTTAGATTCGTGTGTAAGATGCTAAGACCTAGGAGGAGACTTATTTGCATGACACAGAGTGAATGTCAAAGACGATCAACACTTGTATTCTGTTGAACCCAGAACTCAAGCTGGAGAAAAAAATTAAGATAAGAGTGGAACCCGGAATCTTTGAATGGACAAAATGGGAGGCAGGCAAAGCCACCCCAACCCTCATGAGCCCGGAAGAGCTGAAGGAAGCGAACTTCCCCGTGGACACTGATTACAGGTAAGCTCTCCTAAAGCTCTCGGGGGCTTGTCGAGTTCTTATTAAAGAAGAATTTTTCAAGATGTTGTTAAACAGGGTAAGGAAGACTTCATCCAGGAGGGACCACTGCAGTGGGGCCCTGCAGCAGCAGAGACCGGGCTCGATTCCAAGTGCGAGGAAAGTCGGGATTATAGTCACGGAGCAGGGAGGCGGCAGTGGATAGAACATCACAAAGAGGGTGGGGTAGTTCTCCGGTGGAGTAGTTCTCGTGAAGTTGACGCACAAGGAATCTTGCTGCAGGCTGGCCAGGGTGATCAGACGTCACCTGGGGGTGATGGAGGATGAGGAACCAGTTCAGACATGGAGCGGAGCGGGGTTCTTGCTAAAACTGACCCTGCAAGGACAGACACTGAGGCCCGCAGGTCAGGGCCTGGTCGAGAGGAGGGTTCGGAGAGAGAACATTTGTCGTTCTCGTCCCATGTCTGACTGCCGTCACAGAACGTCCCCGCGCTCAGCAGGAACACGTGGGGATGGAACGTCACAGAATGTCCTTGTGCTCAGCAGGAGCACATGCTGGGGATGGAACGTCAGCCTTTTGCCAGTTTTGAGCACAAAACTGGAGCCTCCTATCGACCTCAGTCCTGCCTCCAGGCAGAGCCATCTTGGAAGAACATTCCCCTTCCCTGCTAACCGCAGCTGTGCAATCCTGACCCTGCCATCGGGCCAGGGTGGCAGCCTTCCCCCTCTGTCCCCGCAGGCCTGCGTTTCCCCTCTCCTGCCTCCTGCCAGCTGAGAGCTATGGCGAGTACGTGGACAGGTGCACAGCAAGCATGAGCCGGATCGTCAACACCTGCCCACAGGACAGTAAGTGCCTCCCCATCCTCGGGTAGGAACAGCCCCCAGGGTCTCAAGGTCTTGCCTCTGGGATGGAAATTGGCCAATTTTCTGAACCTATTCATGCCCCCAACCACCACCAACCCCGTTCTCCAGCAACAAAGTATGGTCTGGCGTCTGCTGCCGCAGTATCCGGAGCACAAACACACCTTCACCACGCGCCAGACCCAGGACCCCCACTCCAGGGCTGAGTGCAGATGGGCCCAGGGCCATAGGGTCAACACGACTAGTGTCCACACGACTCGAATCAGCTTCCCAGGAAACAAAGGACAGAGAGACAAAACTTCTAGGCAGAGTCAGTGGGTCTGGCCACAGGCCCCTTCCCGACTCACGAGGGGTCCCCGAGCTCTGGCTCTGTCCTGGATGAAGCTACGCAGAGGTGTCATCTTCCCACCTCTTCCCCGGAGCTGGCTGGGTGTGACGTGTCACCTTGGGGAGACTCACTCAGCTTGGACTCTGGAAGTTCTTAAGTTCTTATCTAAAGTGGGGTCGTAGCAGGCTCGTTGTGATAAGCGGTTGATAATTCTAAGGCACATCAGATCAGGCCTGGGCGGCAGCCACGACCACAATTAGCCGCAGTCCTATCTGTGGTTGACGGTGCCCAGGCAGCCAGCCACAGAGGGTGCCGGCTCGGGTCACTTCTCACACCATCCCTGAGGCTGGCAGGCAGCTGCAGGCACCCTGGGCCCTGCGTGGAGAGGAGATGGGCTCAGAAATGGTGCGCGGGTGGGAGCTCCTGCCAACCACACCCACTCCCTGCCCGCGGACCTCTCAGGGCCTTGGGACACTGCAGGGCAGCTCTGCCCCAACAACTCTGGGGACCCCAGGGTAGTGAAAGGCACCTCCGTGGCTGCTCCGACCTTGAGGTGCTCTTTTGTCCTGCAGCGGGCATCATCCTGATCGTGAGCCACGGCTCGGCGCTGGACTCCTGCACGCGGCCGCTCCTGGGGCTGCCGCCCCGGGACTGCGGGGATTTCGCCCAGTTAGTGAGAAAGGTACGTGGCCGCTCTCATCTCTTTGGTTAGCACACTCCCTTCCCAGTACCCGCCAGCCCGGGCCGCAGAGGCCCGCACACCCCGAGACCGGGCCCACCTGCTCTGTGCAAGGGGCAGCCTCGGGCCGGCGCTGACAGACGGGCTGTCATCCCATCATCACTGGTCATCTGCTGAGGATGTTTTCAAAGTCAGCCCAGATTATAATTCCTGGCAGCTTCGGTGGCGAAGCGCGCGGTGCAGCGAGGAGTGAGCAGTTGATGAGGAGGGACGGGCCGGTACCCGCCAGCTGGCTTTGGGACTCGTCTGAAACCGACTGGCGTTCGTAAAATATTAATAAGTGATTCAAAACTCCGTTCCAGATCCCTTCCCTGGGCATGTGCTTCTGCGAGGAACACAGAGAGGAAGGGAAATGGGAGCTGGTGAACCCGCCCGTGAAGACCCTGACTCACGGCTCCAACTCGGCGTTTAACTGGCGGAACTGGGTCCTCGGCAACTGAGAGCCACCATGCCTCGCGCGCAGCGGCACGGTGAGGCGACACCCTGTGCGGAGGCCGCAAGATACTGTGACTTCCAAGGTGTCTTAGTCTCGCCTGGTGTGATTTGTAGATGCACGAGACGCACTTTTATATTTGGGGATGTTTGTTTGTCACCTGTGTTGCCGTTGTCCTTGAGGCTGGGCCACGGGGGCGCAGGGCAGAGGCTGGGTTGGGTGCCACCCCCGGCACGTGTGCCCCGTACCTGCCCGATACTGGAAGGTGGAGCGTGGCTTGGGGGGAGTGACACCTGGGACTGCAACTTCCAGGCGTTAAAGACTCACACCCCCACACACACACGTGTGCGCACACACACATACACACACATACACACACATGCACACACGCGCACACACATGCACACACATATACACACATGCACACACATGCACACATGCACACACATACACGCACACAAACACACACGCACACGCACACACACACGTGCACACACATACACACACGCACACACACATACACACACGCACACATACACACACGCACACACACATACACACACGTGCACACACACACTGTTTATTTTACGTGTTCATGTCAGTCCGGTCCCCCATTGTCTTTCCTGCTCCTGTTTCCGTCGCTCTTTAGCTGCGTCCACACGGGCTAGAAGAGGTGTAATCCTCAAGAAAATGGGCAGGAAAACCACCCACCAGATCAGCACTGGGACCTGCTGCTTAGTGTGAGCACCCATGTGTCAGCTTCCTGTCGCTGCTACAACAAACCACCGCAGACTTGGTGGTCACTGAAAGCGGCGCAGCTTCTTTAGCGCGCACAGACTTACTGTTCCGCAGTTCTGGAGGTCAGGGCTCCGCTGTCGGCCTAGGTCCCTCCTGGCTGCTCTAGGCCACGATCCCTGCCCCGCCCTTTCCAGCTTTCAGAGGCCACCTGCATCCCTTGTCTCATGCCCGACCCCAGCCCTCCAGGACAGTAGAGTAGCGTCCTCCAAGCTCTCTCTGACCTCTGCCCCCGCTGTCATTGTCACCTGCCTTGGGCCCTCTGCCTCCCTCTCCCAGGGCCCCTGTGATCCCCTTGGACCCGCCGCGTAATCCAGGTAATGGCCATCTCCAGGTCCTTAGCCTCACTGTGCCTGCAAAGTCCCTTTCGCCATGTAAGGCCCCATGTTCACGGTGGGGACTAGGACGTGGACATCTCTGGGGGTCACTCCTTAGCTGCCACCCCTGTCCTCCCAGGCATTAGGGTCCAATGCACCCCGAGTGCAGGTCTTTTTTTGGCTCCCCCTTTTCTTGCTTCCGATCAAGATGGGCGGGAAGGGGACTTTGCAGACGGGAGGAGTGGGTTCCCCTGACGTGACAGGGAACCGGAAGGGCCACCGGCAAAATGACGTCCGCCTGTGACAGTATAAACACGATGGTGGCTTTGACTTCAGGAAGGTGGCTCAGTAGCGAGAGGGGTCCCCCCAGTGTGTCTCCCGCCCCCACCCCACAGGTCGCACCTGTTCCCACAGCCCACGCAGGCGCCTGGCACTGCAGGCGAGATGCCGCCACGGTGCGGTGAAAACCCACCCGCCCCTCCTCCTTCCCATCCCCGTTCCCATTCGGATGTCATTTCCCGTTGCGGTTTGGGACGCGGCTGATCTGTGCCCGGCCCTCTATGTACTAGAGCAAATAGAGAGGCCGCCCGCGGCCCCCAGGCAAGCCGGCGCGGAATATGCGTGAGGACGTCAAACACCCCGGGCAGAGACAGAGCCAGCCCACGTCACGCAGAACACGCTGGGGCCAGACCCGACGGACGCGACCTCGGCATGTCCGTCAAGGGCCATCTCCCGAGAGAAGGGCACATTTGTCTGTCCTTGTTTTACTTTGCTAGCGACACAATCTTCCTGTACCCAATCACAAAGAAGCCTGCAGCTGCCACAGCCGCAGAGAGCAGAGAGTGCCACCCACTCGCGGGCCTCATCCCGGTCCGCTCCGCACGACAAGACCTTTAGGGAATGGCCCCAGGTGTGCCCAGCAGGTGCTGACGGGAAAGCGAGTGCATTCCCTGGCATTGGGTGGGCGGTGGCTCCCACGGCACACGTGCCCCTCTGGGCACTTGCACGGTTGGTCCTTCCTCTTCAGCAGGTATGTGGCCGGTGGACGTGCTCCCCCTGGGCTGTCCTAGACGCTCCGGGGCCACACTTAACTAGTCATGATGATGGATAAAATTTTGCAAACCCAGTGAATGGATTTTAAATGGTGGCTGCTCGTCCGGCTGGTCTGCGACGTGTCTCTGGGTCCACCTTCCCGGGGTGGGGGCTTCTGTGTAAGGACCCGAGTCCTGCTGGGCTGCTGGCAGGCGTCGCAAGGGGGACAAGGTGGTTTGAATCTCAGATTGAGAGGTCTGTGAGCAGGAAACACCATTCTCTTTGTATTGCGTAACTCTGGCTCTGACCAGACCCCCCACGGTGACGGCAGAGACCCCCAGTTCTGCCTTTCTTAGCTTCCGGAATGAGCCATCGTTGTGAGACCGAACCCTGGGGCCACACTGCTGGAGAAGGGCAGAGGCAGAAACGCCCTGCGGACGTTTACCATTATTGGGTAAAAAAAAGAAAGAAAAGACTCCCTGCACTCTCTTCTTCCTTCCTCCTCTTGCTGGGCCTGCCCTCGCTGTTTCTGGGCCAAGCCTGACCCCTGCTGACTTCTGCTGGAAGTGGACGTCCCCTCACCATGGCGTCCACCCCACGCCCCGCCCACGGTATCTGTGGGTGCGTCCCCCCGCCAGGCCTGATGTTCCCACGCCATTACATGGCTCTTCGGGAAGGGCACAGTGGGGAGGGCACAGGAGGAACAGCCTTGGGCTGGGCAGCACAGGCGCTCACACTAAGCCAGTGCCTGTCTCACGGCTGCAGCCCGTGATGGGGGGGAGCTTAGGGACAGGCCGGGCCACCCAGCCACGCCACCGACCCCAGGCAAACACTGCTCTGCTCATCGAGAGGGAGAACATCATATTTCCACCAAAGCAAGTCTTATTTTCGACCAGATTTGAGACTTTTAGATACAATTCACATCATTGCGTATTATGGGCCGAGTTGTGTCTGCCCTCTCCCAAAAATTCTACCAAGTCAACAATTCTGCAGAGATCAGAGGTGAAATGAAAATGAAACTATGGTGGTATCAAGTGGACAGCCGAAAAACCAGATACGCCCTGGGTCCCCGGGAGTGGCTAGGGAGGAACTTAGGGGCTGCACTGCCCATGGGACCTGGTGAGACCCACCCTTAAGGGCTCAATTGTGTCCCCAGAAAAGATCTATTGGAGACGTAACCCCCATTACCTGGGAATGTGACTATATTTGGAGACAAGGTCTTCACAGAGACATTTAAGTTAAAATGAGGTCACCAGGGTGGGCCCTGACCCAATCTGACTGTTGTCCTTGTAAGAAGAGGAGATGGGAACATGGACACACACACAGTGACAACCACATGAAGACACAGGGAGAAAAATGCCATCTGCAAGCCAAGAAGAAACCAGCCCTGGTGGCACCTTGATCTCAGACTTCCAGCCTCTAGAATGCGAGACAATAAATGTGTGTTGTTTAAACTGCCTGCCCTGTCTGTGTGTTCTGCTACGGCAGGAAACCAGTACAGCACGTGAAATTGTGGGTATAAACACTAAAAGGTGCACACCTGCGGGCTGAGTAGGAGGCGTGTCGTGCAGCTCAGTAGGAGACCTTGGCACCGTCGGCTGCACCTGCCTCTCCTGCCCTGCGTGTGTGTGCATGTATGTGTGCGTGTGTGTGCGTATATGTGCACGTGTGTACTTATTTTCAAACATTACGCCTAGAAATCTGACACTGAGGGCAGGTTTTTGTGAGGAGTAAAGGAAGGACGCGGGAACCCCAAATGTGCCCCTGCTTCCCGCCGTGGGGAAGAGCGGGACCCTGCAAACACGCGCTGCTGAGCGCCCCACACTCCTGTCTTCTCGCCCCCGAGCATTTCCAGGAGTCCTCAGAGGAGCCTTGGGGGGCTCAAAAAGCAGCCGCCCCCACAGTCCCCAAGTCCTTCGCATAGCCCACTGCCCTCAGCCTCTGTATACAAGAGGCCTCAGGTGGCCTTGCCCAGCTGCCCATCAGGGGAGTCCAGGTCACCACCTGGAGCTCCCAGGGTGTCCAGTCCTCAGGACACAGAGCCTCGCTGGGGGTCTCCATTCGGAGCCACACTTTGGCCCTGGGATTCCTCAGGGGCTCACAAGGTCCTACAAACAGCCCCACTGCCCCCTTCCACTCCTTCAGGCCTCAAAGGAGCCCTGGAGAGGGAGGTCGGGGTGGGGTGACAGTGGCTGTCCCACCCGCCCGCAGTCACAGCCTGGTCCCCTCCAGCCCACCCATGGGAAGCCAGTTGTCAGTACCTGCAGGCGCCAGGACCACATGCCTGGAGCCCCAAGAAAATCACTGAGATACCAGTGATTTGCCATGGGAAAAAAATTCAGCAAAGTGAGCACAAGTTTACATTCCAAATGTCCACAGCTTTCACTTGCACAGACATCATTAGGAGATCCGATGACAGAAAATAGCCCGTATACAAGGCAACGGCCACAAGACAGGAAACGCCTGCGAATCCCCCGGCAAGCGCCGAGGAGAACCTTGCGACGCCGCGGGGCAGACGGGTGGGACGGGCACAGGCCGCGTGCGCTTGGATGGAGATTCAGCACCGGAGAGAGGCCACTCTCCACGGTCACGCCTCAAAACCATCATCGCAGTAAATAGGGGAAAAGGGTTTTTAGGGAGGGACAGGTGGATTCTGAAACAAACTTCTAGGGATAACTAAGAAAGCCCAAGAACAATACGGGAGAGAGGGAGAGCTCATTCCAACGGGGATTAGTTTAATCTTCAAAAACTGTAATAATTAAACCAAAGAGGAAGCAGCGCCTACTTCAGACGGGGAGGCTAAGATGTGAACGCAAAGACCAGAACCGGCCCTGACATGGTGCATGCATGTGGGAACGAAGGA